GTCCACAGAATTCTTGTGTTTAGATAAATTTTAATCAACGACAATACTATCCATGCGTTCCATACAGTGGTTGGCACAGTTTTCTTTTATAGATATCTTGCTAACAAAGAATAAATGTGATCACAAACAAAACATGACTTGTTGAAAACGTTTAGCAATTATAAACAATTTCACGTTTACAGATCGTGATCTAAAGTTTAAGAACTAACTGAACAAAATGAGACTTGTTTAGTGAACTGTTGACCTTTAAACAATGTTACATGACACGAGAGTGGTCATATACACTGTTTGGTTGATGATAATTTGTTCCAGTTTCCACGGTTGTTCGACTTTTGTTGTTTCTTTCCAAAACATTTGTGAATACTGGTCATTGTTATCTTAAGCACACTACATTTCTTCTTTCGGTTTATGACTGTTTCATAGCACGAGGACTATGTAGCCGACTTCTTGTTTATTCGTCTTTTTTCTTCGAGTTTCCATCGATTTTCGTTACTGTGAAAATGTCGACATCAACATATATTGGAAGTGTTTTCATGTGTCCAAACTGAATAAATGTGAATGTTCAACTTGATAAATAAGTTGCATCGAACGTCCAAATCGCTTTGACAAGAGACACTGTGAAAATGTCAACATCAAAATAACAATAATTTTTAATCAAATTAAAGAGAAACATAGGTTAAAAGCCATTAATGAGGAGCTGTTAGCACTTACTACTAACTCAAAAGTACAAAACTTAACTCTTTTTTCAATAAACGCGCTAAAGCGACTCGAAATGTTGATATACCATGCATCCAGCATAATAGCACCTTTATATACGACTCTAAAACCATGGCCGACCTTTTCAGTAGTATTTTTGCGAATGGTGTAGAAATCATAAGTGACTCTGCTTCAAGAGTTATGTGCGTGACTAGCAACTCAACAAAATCTATCTCCTTCACATGCATGGAAATTAATAAGGCTATAAATAGCCTTAAGATTTCGAGAGGTCATGGAGTAGACGGGATTTCATCCTTTCTCTACAAATATGGTGGTCCAGATATTCCACTTCTTCTTCTAAAGCTGTGTACTCTCTCTATGGAAACCGGTTCTTACCCTTACTGTTGGAAAATCGTGTACGTCATACCACGTTACAAATCTGGAGATAAGACTGACATGAACAATTACCGGCCAATAAATATTACTCCAGTTATTTCTAGGATTATGGAAAAAATTATAAGTGATGAACTTTCCAACTATTTACTTGCTGGAAAATGTATCAATGATACTCAACATGGATTTCTTAAAAATCGTCCTTGCATGACATGTCATTTTGACTTCTTTAATTTAGTCTATTCTCTACGCAGCCATGGATGTCTAGTCTTAGTGCTATATCTGGACATTTCTAAAGCCTTTGACATGGTTAGCCACCAACTTCTTATAGGTAAGCTCGCATCTTATGGGGTTCAAAATCCTTTGCTAGCTTGGTTTGAATCCTTTTTCTGCATTTGACATCAAATATCGAGGAACGTCTAATCTAATCTGGCTATTGATTGCAGGGTTGTTGAACACAGCGTTCCCACTCGTGATCTGGTGTGGTTGCATGACCGAACGCCTTGAGCTTGGTGAGTCCATTAAAACTAATGTGGTAAGCATCCAATGTCGAAAACCTACAGAGCTATTTATTTTAAGGACTTATTTACCGCTACAACACTCTCATAATATTACTCTGAACAATTCTATCGAGCAAACGAAAACAGCAAACACTAATCATCACACATTTACATCAGTGTAAACACAGAACAAGTGTTTCTTGTCAAAGTGATTTGGACGTTCGATGCAACTTATTTATCAAGTTGAACATTCACATTTATTCAGTTTGGACACATGAAAACACTTCCAATATATTATTAATAATTATTTATATTCTGAAAATAATAATTACAAAATTCATACCAGTTTACAGGCATGATCAATTTGATATAAATGATAACGTTAGACGTGCAGAACAAACATGTGATAAAAGAAAGTTTTAAGTATACTAGTTCAGTAGTTGTTTAAGTAGTACATATATTACAGCGATCCAATGCATCAGCCGGGAATTTTTAAAATTTCTTAAATGGACAGCCTGTTGATTTATGAACGGTGTAATTAAGGTCAATTCGTGTGCCAGATCGAAATAATGATAATTATCTACAACTAGAGAAATTAAAACGAAAACAGAGAGCACGGAACAACAAAAAAGTAATTACCAAAATATATCAATCAGGTCTATCTAAATGCGTGTGTCGTGTGACACAGTGATATACTAGATGGTGGTTGGAGGTAGTCAACAGGAAACCCTGGACCCGGGTTTCGTGCTACTTGGCACTCGTCAGCAAGGTGTACCTGTAATCTTGAGGGAACTGGTGCTCCCTGGCGGATTCGATCTCGTGTCACCCAGCTTCACAATCAGAGACGTTACCACTGAGCTATCCGAGCCGTGACTAACCTCCTGTAGGACTGAGATGTAATCACAATTGATTGATCCCTCAAGATTACAGGTACACCTTGCTGACGAGTGCCAAGTAGCACGAAACGCGGGTCCAGGGTTTCCTGTTGACTACCTACAACCACCATCTAATCTCAATACATAGTGCCCGCAGTGTCGAGTCACCTAGACTGGTGGCCACATTGCAACATGATCGATAGCATTCGATCTGCACTAATAAGGACTAGACAAGCATGAGATTGATCACCACCCAGTGATCAATCAATTGTGATTACAGTGATATACTGTTTATGTTATTCAAATTAGTTAAAATTGCTAGGGGCGGTGTTAACATATTGACAGCAAGTGAGTGGTTTTACTAAGGGAATTCACTGATAAAGATGGCTAAACATTTAAGGATCCTAAAATATCACTTGTGGAATGAGATACACTTGCAGGTGCTAGACCATTCAATGCATTTTCAGAGGAGCAGTATGAATCGATGCAGTGAACAAATAATGGGAGTGATTTAATCGTGCGGATAGATTGTGGTAGGTTATTCCATAGTCTAGAAAATTTACAGGTGAAGTAATTCATATAAAGAGATGATTTAGAATAAGTTTTTTTCACTAGTGCCAAGGAATTACGGATGCCATAATGAGAAGTTTCTGCATATTGAATCGTGTGATTGGCTGTAAACGATAGTTTATGAAGTAGTTTGAAGAAAAAAATAAGATTTAGTTTGAGTCTCCTTTTCCATAAAGGGTATAACCCAAGTTTATTACATCTAGAATTATAAGTTAAGGTACAATCAGCTCCAAGAATACGAAGTGTAAATCGTCTCTGTACTGATTCCAGCCTTAATTTATCCTTTATGAGCGCACTGCTAAGAATAAACGTGCAATATTCTAGAAGAGGTCGAGCACAAACTTTGCACATTAGAATACGTGACTGATTGTTGTAAAGATTTCAAGTTATGTAACCTATTAGACTTTGAGACTTAGCGGTCTGTTTTAATATATGTTCAGTAAACGACAAGTCTTGGGAATATCTAAGTCCTAAGTCTACTACAGTATGTAACCTAGATAACACTTATCCATTTATGGTAATGTCTAGGTTGAGTGATGTATCACCGAAGCATATCCATCCACATTTGCCATATTAAGCCCTAATTGCCATTTTAAGCACCACTGTGTTACTTTGTATCGCTCCATGCTGATGCAATTCTGCATATTTTTCAGCTCATGTGGAGAAAATGAATACACAACTTTAAGATCATCCGCGCATAGAAGGGGCTTACCGACAAAAACTTTCACAAATATCATTGACAAACACTGGAAAGAGCGAAGGGCCTAAGAAACTACCTTGCATTACACCACTTCTAACAGGAACAGCGTTACACAACGAAGAGTTAATTTTAACTACTTGATGTCGATTGCTGAGAAAGGAATCAAACCAAGCTAGCAAAGGATTTTGAACCCCATAAGATGCGAGCTTACCTATAAGAAGTTGGTGGCTAACCATGTCAAAGGCTTTAGAAATGTCCAGATATAGCACTAAGACTAGACATCCATGGCTGCGTAGAGAATAGACTAGCCTTATTAATTTCCATGCATGTGAAGGAGATAGATTTTGTTGAGTTGCTAGTCACGCACATAACTCTTGAAGCAGAGCCACTTATGATTTCTACACCATTCGCAAAAATACTACTGAAAAGGTCGGCCATGGTTTTAGAGTCGTATATAAAGGTGCTATTATGCTGGATGCATGGTATATCAACATTTCGAGTCGCTTTAGCGCGTTTATTGAAAAAAGAGTTAAGTTTTGTACTTTTGAGTTAGTAGTAAGTGCTAACAGCTCCTCATTAATGGCTTTTAACCTATGTTTCTCTTTAATTTGATTAAAAATTATTGTTATTTTGATGTTGACATTTTCACAGTGTCTCTTGTCAAAGCGATTTGGACGTTCGATGCAACTTATTTATCAAGTTGAACATTCACATTTATTCAGTTTGGACACATGAAAACACTTCCAATATATGTTGATGTCGACATTTTCACAGTAACGAAAATCGATGGAAACTCGAAGAAAAAAGACGAATAAACAAGAAGTCGGCTACATAGTCCGCGTGCTATGAAACAGTCATAAACCGAAAGAAGAAATGTAGTGTGCTTAAGATAACAATGACCAGTATTCACAAATGTTTTGGAAAGAAACAACAAAAGTCGAACAACCGTGGAAACTGGAACAAATTATCATCAACCAAACAGTGTATATGACCACTCTCGTGTCATGTAACATTGTTTAAAGGTCAACAGTTCACTAAACAAGTCTCATTTTGTTCAGTTAGTTCTTAAACTTTAGATCACGATCTGTAAACGTGAAATTGTTTATAATTGCTAAACGTTTTCAACAAGTCATGTTTTGTTTGTGATCACATTTATTCTTTGTTAGCAAGATATCTATAAAAGAAAACTGTGCCAACCACTGTATGGAACGCATGGATAGTATTGTCGTTGATTAAAATTTATCTAAACACAAGAATTCTGTGGACATGTTGGTTGTGGATAATTCTGGTGGAAGACAATTTCATTCCACACATCACTGTCAATGTATCTATTCAATGTATGAAAAAACGTTAACAAACGCAACTTTAATACAGACAAAGAAATCATTTATCATTTTGATTGTGTTGATACTCGCATTAACATTTGCTGATGGTGCTTCAGGATTGACAAGTTCTGGGAATTTTTTGAATGTCCCTTTTTACACACGTACGTTTTTATTCCAATTTTTTACCAGTTGAAAGCAAAGTCTACTATCAATTTTTTTGTTATTTTTATTAGCTCAACATTTAGTGTTGCATAAATTTATCATCGTGTGCCATGTATTGTGATATATAGAGTGTTCTATAATCCGTCGCATGATCGTTGACTTTGGATCGGCGATCTAATCCCTTATCCATATGATTCAAAAATTTACCGATTCTTCTGTTTAGTCACGTACACGCGAAAGATATTGGAAGCCGGTTTTCTAATACCGTGGAGCGATTGAGATTAGCTTAAAGCATCGTTAGATCCAGGTTAAGTGGTCTACTGGTTATGTGTTTGCGCGCAACACTGAGTTCCTCCAGTTCCATTCTCGTGGACAGGGTTGTTCATGTAAAATCCTGAAATATCCCATCCTACAAAGAAACAACCGTCCACTGACTTTATGTTTTCAGTAGTTGTCTAACACTGATCTGTTTATTGCTTCAATAAAATTCAGCAATCCTTGCAACGCTTAGTTAGAAATATTATTCTTTTCTATGAGATATCCTCAAGAATGGACATCGAAATGTTGTTGAAATTTGATGACATTATTGGAATAGTTGATTCGCAAATATTCATATAGATGTATATTCTTCAGATTTGTGTCTCAAGAAGTTCATGGTAATTATTTCTCTTAAAGTTACTCTGAATCACTCCAGTTTTCCCATGTATATACTGTTAAAATGCAACAAAATGTTTTTATAAGTAGGTTTAAGAATTGAGGTTTAATTGTGTGTTCTCATACTGTAGAGATTTCTGAAAGGTAAACTTGTCTTCAGAAATCAGCATTCCAAGTTTCACTCTACAGCTTGACAAATTTTCACATTAATACCACTCTCACTGAATGCATGTCACCCGAATAATCCTTGAAACAAATCTCATTATTACTGATGATTGTAACTAATCAAAGCCAATTGTTGGTTGAGGAAATGTGTGATCTCAAATGAAATTTTTCGAACTGTAATCTGACGGATTTTATTGATTTATTATCATACTTAATGTACCATATTGATTCAATGTTCATCATTGTGAATAATATCCCATAGACGCGAAATGATAATTGTATCATGCACACTATTTTTATAATCGCATATAATTCGTGAGTGACTAACAAGAGTATAAGCCATAAATACATCAATCACATATTGTCCATAAAACTTGACCCTTGTCCCTTCTCTTGATATTCTGCGACGTACTGCCACAAAGTGATTTAGTGACTTAAATAACTGTTCACGGAGGCGTTTTTTGAGAAAATTCATACACATAGTTCCCTTTAACATTTTGAAAAGAGCAAGAACAAAGATTCTAGCAGAATAAAATGAATTCATTTTATTTCGTAGGTTCTCGTCAGCTGCTTACAACCTGTGATATTTAAAAAATCATAATTACATAATGGGTTTAAATTGCTAACTGAATATTGTAAATATATACCTAATGTGAAAGAATATTCTACAACATTAATTGTGACAACAGTTCGAAAGTGGGCTAGAAACAAACGATTACGTAATGAATAACATTGATAGGAATATAGTGAGTAGAGTTCAGTCGAAAGATTATTAACTTGAAAGATAGTTGAAAAAATAAAATAAATTCAATGATGTAATAAATACAAAAGAAAAAAAATTTTAAGGTGCAGTGAAGGCATATTCGTCACTAGGGCAAGGAAAGATTAACCACCGTCTCCTTTTGAATACATAGGTCAGGTTTTTGATGGCTGATGGCAATGCCTTCAGCAAACTTCAGAAGACTGGAGTTTCGCCGCTTACTAATCACCCTACAGGATTGTAAGGTATCTACCTGATGTCCATATTTCAGGTCCACAAACCAGCAAATTACAAGAACCTCAAACGTTCATTCCTCTCTCGAACCAGTGTGAACAGTGTTTGCTCTTTGGTTAATACGGATTCATGAACAACACTCATTCTCCTTCAAACGTTTGTTTTAGATACGTTAACTACTAGTGCAACTGAAAATATCGGCGATGACAATAATGTGTCGATTCATTCATCAGAGGATTTTAGATTACCACGCACATTGTTTCCACATTTCTACGATTTGTCAATTCAAGTCCATTTGCATGAAAACAAGTCGCAAGCATTTTTCTTCAATGGATCTGTGACAATAAAAGTTTTCTGTAATGTGTCGACAACCGAGTTCTTCGTACATGCAGCCGATAATCTGAATGTGAGCTTGGATCAAATCCATGTAAGCTATAGTTTTCAAACTGACGTTTATTGGAAAATAATCCGTTCTTTGAAATGAGGATAAAATCAACTGACGAACTCATATAATGCAAAAGTATCCAATGAAAACGAAACATTCACCTACATTTATGTCATCGTTTGTGTGGAAAGTATACTCTATTTCATTTACTTTTTTAATTCGACTGTTTTTCATTAAAAACTGGTTCCTAATCGGAACATCTCGCTGAACTAAATAAATCGACATTTCGATAAGTTGTAAGTGGACATTCAAATGTCTTAACCAAGTAAACTTGGAAGTCAATAACATCGTGTGAGTGAATTAATAATGTGATTGTCTCTGTCAACCGAATTTTACATGATTGACCAAATGTCTACCACGTATGTGAACTTAGATAAAGTTTATTCAACAAAATGTGTTTTCAGAATCATCATTTATAATGGTTTATTTGACAGTGATTCAAACAGAATTTTGACTAGATTGAAGTTCAAGTAAAAACTCGCATCTAATTATTTTCCAATTATGTTGTAGTGAACAAAAACACTAGTGGGTACAATCGGATGTTTTAGCTAGGAAATAACAGAACTTGTTATTAAATTTGCAAACTGACCATCAGTTGTTCCAAAGTGACTCAGACTTCATTGTTCTTGCATTTTCATACAAACTGCATTCTGTTTCCATTATTTCTATGCAGATTGAGTCCAATATGTATCATCGATTTCGAGGACCACCATACAGTATCTCCTAATTTCCGTAGCTATCTGATCATTCCTCCTGGTGTCCCTCATTGTTCGTACATCCTATGTACCTATACTAATTGTCCTCGTGACATCCGCGAAATCTCGGAATTCACTATGAGGCGTCATAAATAGTGTAAATAAAGATTTCTCAAATAGGAGACCAGAGTTTGAATGGTTGCAATGACTTTTCTTTGAATATTCTTGTTTTACCGAAGTTGTTTTCTGTGGCATGTGGTGGCTAGCCCTACGCTTAAAACTCCTCATTTATCCGGGGTTGCGAACGGCATTAACCCTAGAGGGGCTACAGATGGAGATATTTATTGCTGAACATTGTAGGTTTGTATTTGAATAACATTTTTTTGTTAAAAAGGAATGATAATTTTCATTCCAAATAAACGGAAATTAAGTACTATATATACAGAATCTAAATGTTCCTTCTGACCAAATATAAATATTGCCAGTCTACAATAATTCTTTTTTTTAAAACAGATATCTTTTCTACATGAAAAAAACCAAACAATCTCTATCCCTGAAATAAAAGACGTTAGTTATTTTAAAGATGCTGAGTGTTATCGAATTAAACTCAAAACGCCTTTGCAACCATATACTTATTACAATCTGACATTTGGACAGTTTCGTTCTGATATGGACTATGATTCTGATGGATTGTATATTAGCAGATATTTGGAAAATGGGATTTACAAGTGAGTCTCGATTTAAGGTATACGTGTGCAGGTTTAGTTGGTAGCGGTTGACGATTGTTACATGAGGAAGAGAAATGTTTACTGACTAATATCACAATGTTGAACACGATGAGATAGAACTTATATTTGCGGAGTCTCTTTAGTGCTCAATGTAAACTTGTTACATCCAAACTTGTATCCATTTTGTAGTGACTTGAAAATCCTGCTACTACGTTCACGTCGTTAATCTGTATGTCACTGACTTTATCTGCCATATCTTCCACATTCTTCTGTTAGTAAATGGGCACACTTGGTCATTTCTTCAAGACAAAATGGGACGACTAACGACTATTAACGAAATAAATCACAGATGCTTGGTGCAATGTATTTCTAATGGTTTCAATTCCTAGCTTGTGCGTGACTGATTATGAACTAGTGTCCAAAAACGCTTGCCATTAAGATTATCTCTCTCAGAGACACTGTTTACTTGTCAATAAACATCACGATAATGGCTTAGTGTACAGTAAATGTAAAAATTTATGCATTACAAATCTGTTGTCGCTGACTGAACATAAATATGTTATTCAGAGTTCCAGTGACCTACCAAAACTCAGCACCTTATAAATCTCCACCTTTCGGAAATGAGATAAGTACTTGTATACATATGTTCATCGTTATATATATTTCAGATATTTGGCAAGTACTGATTTAGAACCAAGTGATGCAAGGAGTATATTACCATGTTGGGATGAGCCGGAATTTAAGGCAAAGTTCAAGGTATTTGACTTTTATTTAAAATGTTTTCATTTTCGTTTTTCCTGCATGATTTGTGGCCTGTTGCAAATCCTGGTCAGTTTGTTAAAATGCAAAAATATTGAACCAAGTGATACTTTGTGATTTAAAGTTGTGTGTGTGATATGAGAAATTCTATTTGACGATTATAATGAGCTTGGCCTACTTCACTCATGTTATGAAACACACTATTAGTTAGATTGAAAAAATGAGTTCATGACTGAGTTTTATCCACACGCGTGCATCACATATTTTTGGATGCAACTGACTATCTGGTGAAAGGCAAATGTCCTAAAACTCATGTACAAGCTTGGTTTGTGAAGCTACTGAAATTATCCTAGTCAGCGTACAAAAAGTGACAATCTAAAATGACGTATTTTCCTCCAGAACGTTAGCATATGTAATAATAATCATAACCTTTTTCCAATAAATTGATGTACAGATCGAATTTACAACAAATATATCATACTCCAAACATTCCATAGACGATGATTATGTACCCAGTGTTGATGAGTCCTGAATGGAAGCATATTTATATTTGTTTCATCACTTATGCACGACTCGGGGATCGTACTCAATGAGACACGACACCATATTTGCTAAACAAGTATCCAGGTGCATGTGAAGATATAGCCTATTCGGTATGCAACATGTTTCAGTAAGACGACACTTCCACACTATTAGTTAAATTGATTAAATAGGTTCATGACCTCGTTTTACCAACACACTTCGAAATTTAATAATGTTTATCATATTTCGATAATGATATTAGAAGACGAAGATTATCAGAACTATGTGATATATTAGCGCAATACATTTCGAACAATCTGGTCACACATATACTTGTTAAGAGCATTTATATATAAAAATAAAAGGTCAACTAGACAGGAAACGGGGTAAGAGGAGATAAGGATAATGATAAGAGTAATAATAATAATAATGTGAACACAATTTGAAACCTAATCACTCTGGATAATAAGTCAATATTACCAGGGTAGGTTTAAGGTAAGAACAAACTGTTTTTGAACACATAAAGGGGGTTTGAATTTTCGTATGGCTAAGGCTTCAATGAACCTTAGTATACGCCCTTTTACACTTTTATACAGCACTACAAAAGCTGAATTTAGATCAATCTTGTGACCTGTTTCAATTATATGTTTAGCAATAGAGGATGATGGATGTTTATCCTCTGCTCTTATCGGGTCACTTGATTGTATTTGTTTCTGAAGCCATTTGGGTACCTGTTCACTCACCCTAATGTTGAGATCACGATTACTCCTCCCTATGTATGTGTGACCACACACACATTTAAATTGGTAAACACAGTGGGATGTGACGCAATCGTTTCCATGTACTTTAGGTTTTGAATGAAGCATGCACCTTGTTCTTTCTTTGATGATGACCTTTGCTGCGCAATAGGTTTTATTGATGACTGATTTAAGTCGTTGTTTCAGTAAAAGGCTATTTGAATCACCTCTGAATGGTAAGGTGATGTAGACAGGCTTTTTCTCTACCGAGGCTATAGTAGGTCTCGCTGAACCATGGACTTTCCATCTATTTATGAATTTCAGAGGATAGCCATTTTCTATTAACGTTTTATTTAACAACTTAACATCATCATCAATGGCGTCATTGGTACAAATACGGTCGAGTCTGTTGAAAAGACACCTTATCAAACCACGTTTGTATTGCACAGGGCAATAACTATAATAACTTAGATATTGACCTGTCCATGTTGGTTTTCTAAAAATAGATCGCTTTACTGAACCATCTTCTCGTCTACTCAGGAGTATATCTAGGAAGGGAAGTTGATCGTTTTTCTCCTCTTCACATGAGAGACTAATATGGTTTTGGAGGGTGTTGAGTTTATTTAATAAACCGTGCATATCCTCTTTTTTCTCACAAACAACTAAGATATCGTCCACATATCTCTTATAAAGTGACATGTTTCCGATTAATTCGTCAGTCTGATTTTCAACATGTGCCATGAACACATCTGCTAGTAATGGTCCTAGCGGACTACCCATAGCAACTCCATCAATCTGACGAAAGTATTCACCTTCAAAAGTGAACTGAACTTCTTTAAGAAGTTTTACAGGTACACGTGATTGAAAATTGTTTTTAGATATGTAATCACATAATATATCAATGGTTTTTTTTAAAGGTACATTTGTAAACAAGGAATTTACATCAAATGAACACATTGTCTTTTCCTTGATATTAATATCATCTAACTGATCAACCAGTTCAAAAGAATCCTTTAGAGAATACTTACATAGATGTCTTCGAAAAGGATCCAACAACTTTGCTAACCATTTAGCCAGATTATGTGTAGGTGATCTGCACATTGATAGAATTGGACGTAAAGGAACATTAGGTTTGTGAATTTTAGGCAGTCCATATAAATGAGGGTACTCGGAACCCATAGGTTTTAGAAAGTTAAATTCCTCTTTATTAATAATATTCATGAGAAGCAATTTTTCTAGGTTTGAATTTACTCTTCTTTCTAGTTTGCTGATACCTCCAAATTCAACATCAGGCATAAATTTACTGTCATCACTAAGGATAGATAACATCTTACTTTTATATTCACATTTATTCATGATAACTACGCCTGATCCTTTATCAGGTTTTAACAAGACAATATCAGAGTTTGATCGTAGTTCTTTTAATGATTTAAAATGCTGAGAAGTTAATATGCTTCTCTGCTTCGGGCCAACACTATGAAATTGGTGTGCCATATCCACTAGTTTAGCTTTACACCAGCTTTGATTATTTGAAGACGTAGGGGTTAGAGTACTCAGTTGATCATATAAATTTTCAAACTGGGCATTTATTTCCAATTCAGACATTTGCGTTATAGGGACGGAGAAATTAAAACCAAGAGAGAGGGCTTCCTTTTCATTAGCAGATAATACAATGGAGGATAAATTAGTGACATACTTTTCAGGATTTACTGGGAATAAATTAACTTGATTAGTAATAATACAAGATTTTTCGAGCTTATTACTGATCCTTTCTTTTGTTTTCGAAATGACATTACTGCAAAAGTTGGTGAATTTAATATGGCAGACTATAGATATTTCATTTAATATAGGCAATGCTTGAGTGTGTAATTCAATTAAATTGATCAGTTTGTCTTGGCACTTATCTATATATGATTTCGACAATCGAATAAGATTTGAAATATTTGGTTGTAATTTACTTGAACGTAAATTCTTGTATAGTATTACAACCAAATATTTCAAATCTTATTCGATTGTCGAAATCATATATAGATAAGTGCCAAGACAAACTGATCAATTTAATTGAATTACACACTCAAGCATTGCCTATATTAAATGAAATATCTATAGTCTGCCATATTAAATTCACCAACTTTTGCAGTAATGTCATTTCGAAAACAAAAGAAAGGATCAGTAATAAGCTCGAAAAATCTTGTATTATTACTAATCAAGTTAATTTATTCCCAGTAAATCCTGAAAAGTATGTCACTAATTTATCCTCCATTGTATTATCTGCTAATGAAAAGGAAGCCCTCTCTCTTGGTTTTAATTTCTCCGTCCCTATAACGCAAATGTCTGAATTGGAAATAAATGCCCAGTTTGAAAATTTATATGATCAACTGAGTACTCTAACCCCTACGTCTTCAAATAATCAAAGCTGGTGTAAAGCTAAACTAGTGGATATGGCACACCAATTTCATAGTGTTGGCCCGAAGCAGAGAAGCATATTAACTTCTCAGCATTTTAAATCATTAAAAGAACTACGATCAAACTCTGATATTGTCTTGTTAAAACCTGATAAAGGATCAGGCGTAGTTATCATGAATAAATGTGAATATAAAAGTAAGATGTTATCTATCCTTAGTGATGACAGTAAATTTATGCCTGATGTTGAATTTGGAGGTATCAGCAAACTAGAAAGAAGAGTAAATTCAAACCTAGAAAAATTGCTTCTCATGAATATTATTAATAAAGAGGAATTTAACTTTCTAAAACCTATGGGTTCCGAGTACCCTCATTTATATGGACTGCCTAAAATTCACAAACCTAATGTTCCTTTACGTCCAATTCTATCAATGTGCAGATCACCTACACATAATCTGGCTAAATGGTTAGCAAAGTTGTTGGATCCTTTTCGAAGACATCTATGTAAGTATTCTCTAAAGGATTCTTTTGAACTGGTTGATCAGTTAGATGATATTAATATCAAGGAAAAGACAATGTGTTCATTTGATGTAAATTCCTTGTTTACAAATGTACCTTTAAAAAAAACCATTGATATATTATGTGATTACATATCTAAAAACAATTTTCAATCACGTGTACCTGTAAAACTTCTTAAAGAAGTTCAGTTCACTTTTGAAGGTGAATACTTTCGTCAGATTGATGGAGTTGCTATGGGTAGTCCGCTAGGACCATTACTAGCAGATGTGTTCATGGCACATGTTGAAAATCAGACTGACGAATTAATCGGAAACATGTCACTTTATAAGAGATATGTGGACGATATCTTAGTTGTTTGTGAGAAAAAAGAGGATATGCACGGTTTATTAAATAAACTCAACACCCTCCAAAACCATATTAGTCTCTCATGTGAAGAGGAGAAAAACGATCAACTTCCCTTCCTAGATATACTCCTGAGTAGACGAGAAGATGGTTCAGTAAAGCGATCTATTTTTAGAAAACCAACATGGACAGGTCAATATCTAAGTTATTATAGTTATTGCCCTGTGCAATACAAACGTGGTTTGATAAGGTGTCTTTTCAACAGACTCGACCGTATTTGTACCAATGACGCCATTGATGATGATGTTAAGTTGTTAAATAAAACGTTAATAGAAAATGGCTATCCTCTGAAATTCATAAATAGATGGAAAGTCCATGGTTCAGCGAGACCTACTATAGCCTCGGTAGAGAAAAAGCCTGTCTACATCACCTTACCATTCAGAGGTGATTCAAATAGCCTTTTACTGAAACAACGACTTAAATCAGTCATCAATAAAACCTATTGCGCAGCAAAGGTCATCATCAAAGAAAGAACAAGGTGCATGCTTCATTCAAAACCTAAAGTACATGGAAACGATTGCGTCACATCCCACTGTGTTTACCAATTTAAATGTGTGTGTGGTCACACATACATAGGGAGGAGTAATCGTGATCTCAACATTAGGGTGAGTGAACAGGTACCCAAATGGCTTCAGAAACAAATACAATCAAGTGACCCGATAAGAGCAGAGGATAAACATCCATCATCCTCTATTGCTAAACATATAATTGAAACAGGTCACAAGATTGATCTAAATTCAGCTTTTGTAGTGCTGTATAAAAGTGTAAAAGGGCGTATACTAAGGTTCATTGAAGCCTTAGCCATACGAAAATTCAAACCCCCTTTATGTGTTCAAAAACAGTTTGTTCTTACCTTAAACCTACCCTGGTAATATTGACTTATTATCCAGAGTGATTAGGTTTCAAATTGTGTTCACATTATTATTATTATTACTCTTATCATTATCCTTATCTCCTCTTACCCCGTTTCCTGTCTAGTTGACCTTTTATTTTTATATATAAATGCTCTTAACAAGTATATGTGTGACCAGATTGTTCGAAATGTATTGCGCTAATATATCACATAGTTCTGATAATCTTCGTCTTCTAATATCATTATCGAAATTTATCAAAGGGACTAATTGTTTTAAAGTTTATCATATTGTTTGATGGCAACTGGTTACCTGTTATAAAGCACATATAATAAAGCCTATGTACAATGTTCTTATGAGAATGCACTGGAATTAACTTGGTCGAATACAAACAGCGACAATTTAAAATAACGTATTCTCTTCCGGAACGTAAGAGTATATAATGACAGCAATACATTTCTTGCACTAAATCAATGTACAGAATTAGGTTACAACACTCCCTATCGTCTACATGTTATCACAAAGCTCTCCATAAACCATGATTAGGTAACCAGTGTTGATAAGTCTTAAATGGGAGAATATTTCTATTTGTTCCACTACTTATGTGCTACGAAAACTTCAGGTGAATATCAAGCATTCGCAGATGGCACTCAAGATCATATGAACATATAGCCTATTCAGTATGCAACATGTTTCAGTCAGACAACACTTCCACGATTGCCCAATGAGTAATCCATCAACTCAGTTAGAAAATTAGTTTCCACATGAGTTAAGAATTTCCACGACGATATGTGATATATTGCTAGGTAAGCACGATAAGAATCTTGAATTGTTTCAATTGGTTAGACATGCCACTTATTATTCGAGAACAAATTTCTCACGTTTGTGTCTTTCAGGTCAATATTGTACGCCACAAAAATTTCCATTCGCTTTCAAACATGAATTTGGAAAGTACGGAAGTTCTGTACGATGATTGGCATGTCGACAGGTATAACACCAGTGTGAGAATGTCCACATATCTGTTGGCATTTGTAGTTTCACAGTTTTCGAATATTCAGAGGACAGACAATAGAGGACGAAACGTGAGTGTTATAAATTAAACAGATGTTTTGTAACTCTCCATGCAACACTTTTGTAATGTACTGAAATCATGTATATCTAGGAAGAACCATCATGAGATTGCATGCAACCGATCATCCGAGACGGTTCGGCATATACACAGATCCACGTTACATACATACAAGTATTCACAGTGAAGCAGCAGCAGTTCCTCGATGTTTCGAAGTTATGTGAATACGCTTGCAACACCACAGTGATGGTAGAAACTAAAACAGAACACCTGAATAGAGGATGTTCCATACAAGTATTCAAAAGTACAAGTATTGTTTGATGGTACAAGCCATTGTTTTAACAATGCTGAGTTCTCTGTGTTTCAATCAAATCAAAGTGGTTCAATCACTCGTGACATTGAAAACAGTCTCTTGTATCATATTTTAGCAGTAATGACTTTTTTATCGTAGGACTGATTCACTTCCAGCTAAAACAATTCTTTCATTTAGTTCACTGTTTGGGCAAGACCGGATAAAATTCGATCAGCTGAATATGCACTTGATATTGGCATAAAATTATTGGGATACTTTGAAGATTATTTTGGCATTCCCTATTCACTTCCTAAAATGGGTAGGTATTTTACACAAATGTGTTTCCGTTTAATATACATTTAGTAGAATACTGTACAATGTAAACTATGCAACCAAACATTAGGATCTAAATAATCAAAAAAATACATATTTAACTAAAATATATGTTATTTTAATGTCACTAGTTATATTTTGAACTGGAGTGGATGAATGTAAATAAACATATTCAACTATTGAACTAGTGTAAATATATTCATGCATTTGGATGTCCATAATTAGTCCGCTTATTTGGTAGGCACATTAGTGTGATAATATGTCATTAGAACTGCGTACATTTCGAACGTATTTTCCATCATATTTCCAGATATGATTGCGATTCCTAACTCTTCAATAACGGCAATGGAAAACTGGGGTTTGATAACGTATAGAGAAAAATTTATGTTGTGGGACCCAGAAAATTATTCATTGGCATCCAAAATCCTTGTGACTTTCGTTATTTCACATGAACTTGCTCATCAGGTATGATCTTGAATGAAAAATGAAACATTAAATTCAAATTATATCTCTTTAATTTTCAGATGGTTTGTATCATAAACTGACATACTTGGAAAACGGACAAAAACTCATTCATTGTTGATTTCGGCTGCAGCAATGGTAACTCACAAGATATCTGAGCTTCTCAATAAACTCAATTCGCTTACTCCAATAATACACGTTTCTGTCTTAATTCAGTCCCTGTCCATTGTCGATAGACGTGTCGGGTAAAACAATCATTCAAATAATCCAAGCGATTTCTTAAATTTCTGTTGATCATTCATCACCTCATATGTCATTATTATCAGAAGTCGGTTTACTGACAAGCCAAGCCACTACTTTCTCTATTTTACATGTGGTTATATTGAAAATACAACACAATAACTGCTCCCACGTAATCGATTCTCACTCGTCGTAGTTGAACTCATTCAGTTACTCATTTTCACTACATCATTCAGAATTCCTTTACAACTAGGATTCAGGAACGGAATTTAAGGTTTAATTGCAATGCACAAGCATCGTTTTTCATAATGTGTGTATATGACCTTATGTAAATATCGAAGTCGATTGAGCGATCCGAATATGTTACGTTTATCAATTTTCAATTTAAACACATTTCTTTCAGTGGTTAGGAAACTTAGTGACAATGAAATGGTGGGATAACTTGTGGTTGAACGAAGGCTTCGCAACATTTTTCGAATACATCGGAGTACAGTTACTGCATCCTGAGTGGAAAGTAGTAAGTTGAGTGTTTTCTTTGAGGATATTATCAGTTCGCCGTTTCATTTTGTACATGTCACTTGTCATTTCAGAAACTTTTTCATAGAACTTGTACATGCTGTTGGGAAGTAGAGATTTTTAGATGGATTTTTTTAATAAATCTGGAGAATTTAATAAATTTTCAAATAGCATTTGAATAATTCACAAACACCAGGATAATTTTTGACCTTTCATTAAATAATTTAGAATGTTTGATTAAATCTGGACCATTTTATGATTATATTGTGGATAATAATGTTATAAATAAAACTGCTTTAATTCTTTGATGAATAGGATGAACTATTCATACTGGACGAATTGATTCGTGTGCTTGATAAAGATACATCGATGAAATCAAGACCAGTCATTTATTCAGCCAATACTAAAACACAAATCAAAAGCATGTTTGATATATTCACCTATAGTAAGGTCAGTTCTGTATTGACTGTTCATTTTTTCTCAAATGTATTCTAATTTTTCATACTATTTAGTTGATCGTCTAAGCAATCATGATATGAAACAGAAGAATGATATTTCTCTCAACGAGTAACTTGAGGTGTTTTTAATACAACGGCACTTGTACAATTATCTCTCATCATTTCAACTTTAATAAAAGCACTATTAGTAGAATGAAGTAACAAATCAGACTTTCATAGTTGAATTCACGAGTCACTCTGAGCTGAACCACCATTGAAGACCTGGAATGCCTGCTGAATGTATCTAAACTAGGACCAAACGCCCATCCAGAGTTCACAGGTCTTCAATGGCAGTTTCACTTACATGGACTCATAAGTCCAACTGCGGAAATACCACAATCTCCAAAAATCCCAACACTAAGAAAATCCCATTTTCATCTAATCTTTCTTCAACAAAATGAATTGAATATGGTGGTCAAATAAACCACTGAACAAACTGTAACACGTAGTGAAATCGTAACTGTGGAATGTAACATCAACTAACCGGATACGCAATACTCAGTAATCGCTGTACTTAAAAATGACTATTGAAACTCTCCTTTACTGCTTGAACAATTCGGATTGAACTTTGTTCATATCTCTGACTTATAAAGATGATAGTTGATCAAATAGATTTACGGCTTTTTTCCAACACTCAGATAAATAAACGTAGTATAAATCTAAATATATCAAACTGGTTTCACAAAAATCCAGTCGAATAAACCAACTGAATCTGTGACTAAAAAATTTGAAAATTGCAATAACATCAATAAGCCCATCATTTATGGACGAACAATATTTATTTTGTGTAAGCGCTCTAGGACACGAACTAGTCATTGTGATGTTGAAAATCTTGTTATTCATAATAATTTTAACACATATCTTATAGGTCATCAATTAAAACTGTGTATATATTTGATGAATCTCAAAATGTAAGTGACGTCTTGACATTCAAAATCATGAAGTTAATCATTCTCTCATATTTGCAATTAACAGAATAGTGTATGTTTTAATAAGCTTACACAACGAAATAACAGTGATGTTTAAACTTGAACTTTATATCTAGGTTAAGACCACGAAAACCAGTTTTCTTATTCACACGATAGAAAGCACTCACTACCTGAATGATTGCATAACATTTGTTAGACCAAGTAAATGAAACGACTTCTAATTGAGCAATATGAAACAATGTACATGCAATTATAATTCTCCAATGTTCTTACCTGAATTAACAGAACCATAATACACAGTAATCTTCCACTTTGTGTGAATCCATTATAATGCGAAAGTATTTAGTGGTTAACCATGTGACATATTATATTCAAAAACAATAATATTACTAAGTGCATCTTAACTTTCTTATCCATTTGGAATAAATTCATTTGTTTCCTATCTTCGACTGGACAAAAGTTAACTGACTGACCAATCTAACTTACCTACGCATTCATCTAATATTTCATATATAATAATATTCTTCATTGCGTCCGATAATTCACAGGGCGCCTCCTTGGTTTGGATGATGGAGAAATTCATGGGCCGTAGCGCTTTTCAAAACGGTTTAAAAGTACGTTGACAGTGGTTATTTTGTTGTAACTGAGTGTCATATAATCTAGTCTCAATGGTCACATTCAATAGTGAACTGATTTCTTTTCATTGACTAGGTATTTTAGAAGTTTTCTTCGAGACTTTCCAATACGGAGAGTCCTCTTATAATTCGCACAGCTATAACTCAGTACGACGTCACTTAACACAACAGAGTATCGATAGATCACTACAGTCTTCAACACAAGTACTCCTTGAAACGCTATGTCACTTTTCTATCAACAGGCACTCGACTTAATAAAAAGCTTAAACTCGCATGTCGTCATGAACAAATGGAAAATGCTTTTAAAATTAAGTGTTGTTTGACCAACTCATAAGCCATATTCACTATAGCTGAATTACTGAGATATTTTTATACCAAATCGGTGTAAATATCGTTACAAACGAATTATGTTAAACAGACTTCACTCACTGTTATAATTGATAGATTGTATGTTGAAGTTATATCCCACTTAAGCAAGTACAATTTATCTCTCATCCTCTGTCATCAGTTGCATTAACGTGGTCGAATATGTATGAACATAAACGCAGTTTGGAAAATATAAAGTCTGGCTAAAGGGTTTGAGTTCTATGATTTTATTCATGATTAATTGCAAATTGTAATCCTGAAATGCTTTATATAATGTGTTTTTCTGTATTTATTTAAGAGATATTTAATTCAAAACCAGTATAAAAACACAGATGAAAAAGATTTATGGAAGGCATTATCTGAAGTAAGTATTTGGTGGTGAATACATCAATGCAAACGCGTTTGATGCGATCCATTTTGTTGTTGAATTTGTTTCATCATTTCTCCTGATCGTGATGTATTTTTTCGTTAGCGAAGATAAGTGTTGTCTTAAAATATATTTTAAATTAATCAGATATTTATGGTATGATTTAATCAATAATTTCGTGCTTCATATCTTTATGTACTACCTGTTCCTCAACACTGTTCTTATTTATTCTTTGCTTTTATTCTGTAAAAAGTAAACTCTATGGTAGCGGTAGTTGAGGTTTCATCTATTAAGTCATTTCATCGAAAGCAACCACGTTGTAATTACAATGATAAAATCCTAATAATTCTTTTTCGGTTTGTGACATCCGTGGTCACATACCACGCTTCACCATGCTGCATTAAATTATTCATCCACCTATCACATTCCCAATAAATGAATTTATGGTGCATGGTTTTGAAAAACGAGTGAATTTCACTGTATTTCATTTCACAAGTTATATTGTCCACTATTCTCGATTATAGAAGCATGTTAACTTTTGCGATTCTGCAAAATTATTATTCAAAAGTATAAGGCCAATAACCTAATCAAAATTTCGTTTTAATTGCAAATTAGGAATGGAATACTCAAGGAAATCATTTGGACATTGGATTTATTATGGACTCTTGGACTAAACAAAGTAATTATCCACTAGTGATTGTGAAGAGAAATGGGTCGAATGTGTCCTTTTTTGAGCAGATCCATTACTTTCAACACTATGGTAACAAGTCATCTCAAACAAATCATGAGTAAGTAAACTATATATTTATTTGGACAGCATCTGTATTCAGAGATTATATGAAGAAAATTGAGATCGTAATGTATGCAATGTTTGCTATTGTGTTGAATTCTAGTGATGTCGAGGGATATATGTGGTGTGTATCATCAAGTGAAAGTGAAATGCCTGGCGACTGAATGTTCAGTAGATCGAAGAGAAGAGAAGGAAAACAGAGAACGATTAGTGTGGGGACGAAGGAACAATCAAGTTCCAGATAATTGATTGACACTTTGGGAATTCATTATTCACTTTATGATTCCCAATACATTATCAATGGGTTTCTTAAGATCATTTCCATTCTTCAATTTAAATGACGAAAGAAATTTAACTCATTGTAATTTTCAACCAACATACCTTCCGTTTCTTACTCAGTGCACTATTTTTTAGTTTTTCGATGTGATATTTCACTTAACATAACACAAATTTATTTTAGTGTGGTGTTCTTTCAAGATACGGTAATACCAGTATTAAAATAAAACGACCTTTGCTCAGTATGACATGCAGTATGTGATTAGTTAAAATTCTGGATATTTTTCATACATGTGATATTGTTCCAATTATTAATCAATATGGGTGTACGGTCAATATATGATGGGTGTACATTCTACTAGGATGGCTATTGCAATTTTGGGATCATTAATCCTTAACTTCGTTAATCTCAGTGTTTTCAATTCGTGTCATGGGAATCGCAGTGGCCTTTCGTTTTGTCAAGCATTAAGTGACACAGAAATAAAGGTTGATGACGTGGACTTTGAAAATGTGAAAGACATAACAATTGCCAACGTAGTGAATCTACACGTTTCGGTTTTTCAATGTAACTGTTTGATTCCAGTAATAACTCGGTTTACTGTACAACTTTCCACCAAAACCTGTTTTTCTGTTATAAATATACTTCCTTATCTCCATCCATCAAGTCACCGTTATAGAAGGAGATGCGGACATATCACACCTCAAGATACTGTATTACAACATCATTTCAAACACAGAAATATTATTTCTAGTCCATCCCAATTGTGAAATTATTGTATCTGTTTCACTTTTTCTGGCAAAAAGCGTTATTGAACGGGATTCATCAACATTATTGAAACAATATACACTCGAGTTATTAACATTTGGTGTACCACTTCCCAAAAGCCAGACTAAAATATTTCCTATTATTATGTCGAACATGATTCATAAATTTAATATCCACAAAACCCCCTCTCATACAATGTATGCTGTTGACACATATGTAGATTTAAATTGAAATCATAATACAGAAAACGAGCGCGTGCGGTCACCTCTATTATACTATATATTATTTCATTCTAAGTAACTAATAAAACAGCGATTACCCTTTTTACGAACCGAATATGATCATCCTCAAAATATCAATGTTCACTTCGCAAAACTAGAGTTGAGTTTATTGATTATAAACAAAATTATTTCTCACAGGAAGGGGGGCATAAATTTCCCTTTGTTGTTAATATAACTATTAAAAATCGAGACATCTGGGATCTTTTAGTAAAGAAAAGATTCAAGAACAGAGGGACAGATGGGTGGAACAACTTGAGGAACACTTGAATAAGCCATCTTCAACAGATCCATCAGACCCCATAGCACCACCTGCAGATCATCCTATAGATGTCACTCAACCAATGATCGAAGAAATCAAGGTGACTATCAGAAAAATCAAATGTGGGAAAGCAGTAGGACTTGAAAATATACCAGCTGAAACATCGAAATCAGACATAGAAGTAACTGCAAATATGCTTCACTTTCTATTGAGGAAAATTAGAGAGAAAGAACAAGTGCCACTGACAAACTGGAAAAAAAGAATAGCACATCAAGATACAAAAGATAGGAGATCTGAGCAAATATAAGGACTACAGAGGCATCACATTCTTGCCGGTATTAGAACTATTGTGGAACATAGTGTTGCTAGACTAATGAAAGTTTCAGTAGAAGCTCAACTTCAAAATCAGCAAATCGGATTCTGTAAAGATCGGTCGTGCATTCCACCACAAGTATTTGTAAATAACTATCTACACAAGATACAGAATATCCGGTAACTGGATACCAGCAGCAACAGTCTACTGTGGGAGACAAAAATCCAGCTTTCAAATAAGGAGGAAATTAGAAAAGATGCTGGAAATTAATAGAAAGTACATTGTGGGAATCATCGGATTTCATCACGAGGCAGGTACTAATTTGGAATCCTGAATAGAAACGGAAAAGGGGAATACAGCACATTAAACTGGGTCAAGAATCATAAGCAGACGTGAAAAAGATATAAGGGAAATGAAATGAATTGTAGTGGATTGTCCATGACAAAGTTGGATGTAGAATTCCGGTAGTCAGTCTACGCTCCTCCATGAGGTGGGGTAACAAGCGTAAGGGAAGGGATATTTAGGAGTGGGTTGAGCTAACAAACAATCTTTTGTATTTATGTTTGAAATACAACTTGACCTCTATCGATCAACTAGCATTATCAACAAGTGTTTTGTTATGGCACTCAATCAAAGTTCCTGCTTTTGAATATCATACTTATAAGTTGATAGCCTTTAATGTTCATTATTATGTGTATTGCTTCTTTCAGACACTCCTGGATAATACCACTCACTTATGGGTCAGCACCAACGGTGAAGTGGACAAATTTTGATATTGTGTGGATGGTGAACAGTAAGAAAAACCATTTTCCATTTTCATTAGTATAATTACTACGCTGTACGCTACACATACCGGTACATACTTTGCGTGACATTGTGAAGATAGACAGTCGAGTTGACGAGCCTTTTACGATAAAGAGTAACAGTTGTCTTATTCAACAAGTGTAGCACTAATTTGTTATAGGGCGTGTATGACACCTCATATAGAAGAAAAAGTTTTACCATCCCTCAAATTCTAAACAGATGAGATAAAATTAATAATGAAATACTACGCTCTTATTCAGCTTTAACTGTTTATTCTAATTCATATGTAACTGCCAATATTGTAATATTAATGACTTATTTGATTATTCCTTGCCTCCTTAAGACAAAATGAATCAAACAGTGAACATAAGCTCAGACGACTGGTATTTGGTGAATGTAAAACAAGGAGGATTTTATCGGGTTCACTACGCTGACAATAACTGGATCTTATTAATCAATCAATTGCAAAGGAATTTCACGGTTTGTTCAAAACACTTGTGTTTCTCTCCGTCATAAATAACTATTCTCTCAAATATTTTAAATTTAATCTTGTTAGTAACATGGAAATCGATAGATAAGCATAATTATGATGATAAATTTTGTAGAATGTGATAAGCGATACAGGATATTTTAATATAAACTATTGAGAATGGATCTCCATTCATTGTGAATATCCAACTACAATCATTGACTTAAAATGTATTCATATGTAGCACACTGAGGTTTACGTTAGACAGCATGACCATTTACCATCTAAACATATGAAACCACATGTAAAATAAATTTTTGTCATTTGACATAGATATTTACTAACTTATTTATTTATCCGCTTACTTTCTGAATTACATGTTTACCTACCCAGCTACTTACTTATTTACGTACTTACCTATATACTTATGCAATTACTTACCAGATATTTGTCGCCTGAGTATCCTTACAACCACAAACTATTATATTCTAGCCTCTTTTCAAATTTTTGAGAATTTCTTCTCATTCTTTCGATATATAGTGGCTGTTATTCTATAGAATCCTTAAACATTGCAAACAGTTTGGCCTGATAACGGTTGCTAGATAATGTCTCATACGGTTTACAAATTAGAAGACGAGTACGAATTCCTGATTGTGTTTTTCTTTTCACGACGCACATATCACCGAAACCACAGACACGCGAAAAAAGAATGTAGGGATAATACCGAAAAGCAAGTGAGCGAGTGGACTTTCTAGTCAAAATTATTAGGTTTGAAATGTTTTTGAGATGGTGGAGAAGATTTGAAATGTTTGTATATATATATATATATATATATATATATATATATATACATAGTGAAATGAATAAATCTCGATTCAATGAAACGATTAATAGTTAGGCTAGCAGAATAAATATATAGGTACAATGGTACAATGAAATAGATAAGCTGTTATTGTACGAATAACTCTGCTCGATAAATGGGTTAACCAAATTAAATATGAACAAACTCAATCGCACGCGAGCTACTATAATAGCTCCAACTAAATATACAAAGATTGTCTGTGTTTGTGAAGGAAAAAAATGCTAAATTTGACTGGATGGTAGATATCCAAACTTACGAAAGTAAAATGTATAATAGAACTATCATATGGGTTGTTGCAAATACGTGTGAGCTTGACATCGTATACGTCCGTGAGACCGGATAAGATAATAACGGAAGATCATAGTAATGAAGTGGTGCTTATAGACGTTCATTTACATTGACATCAGAATGTAAAATAATATGTAGAACAAAAGAATTGATAAGTCAAAATTTTTTATGTGTACAGACAAAACGAAGAGGAAAAGACAAAATTCACATCTGAAGAGGTGGAAGAAACTATTTATTCAAAATTGCAGCTATATACCTTTGCGACCGACTCACTCTTCGACCATATCTCGTGGTCACTGGACACTTCTTTTACTGCTGCATTAGCGCCGTTGATTCTCGAGTCTCGTTGGCGTGACCATCTTCGAAGGTCTTGCACTTGTTAATTGAAAATCACTATCTATGAAAGCTGGTTTCACTCGATCGATGGTGATTACACCTGTCTTGCTCGCTTTTTCTATGGTAACTGTCTTATCTGTCCTCGTTATCAATTTAAATGGACCGTCGTAATTCGGTTGCAGAGGTGGATGTACATTATCTCTTCTAATTAATACGTGAGTACTATTATGCAGTTCCTGCGGTATGAACACTGATCTTTGTTGTAGTCTGTGAAGTGTTATTTTTAGCTCCTTCATGTGCTTCTTCAGGCGTTGCACGTGGTTGGTTACATTTGTCGGAACACTTTTTCCTGAAGCGAAAAATTCTCCAGGTAAACGTAGAGTATTTCAATATGCCAACTCAGCTGAACAACATCATATGTCCTGTTTAATTGTTGTTCTTAGACTCAACATTACTAGAAGAAGCTTATTGACTCAATCGTTGTGGACAGATGTAAGGAGCGCTTTTAACTGCCTAAGTGGGTGTTCAACCATTTCGTTTGCCATTGGATGGTAGTATGTCGTTCGTATACGTTTAATTCTGGGGAGTTGTTTAAGCTGCTGGAAGAGTCGGCTTTCGAATCGTGCTTCTCCGCCGGTTGTGATAATCGCTGGTACGCCATATTAAGGGATGCAATTCTAGACTAGGACTTTGGTTACAGATTCGGTTGAGGTTCCATTTATCGACACCACTACAGGCCGTTGCGTAAATCTATCAATGTGTGTAAAAATATATTCGTATTCGTTCGAAACTGTCAGTGGTCCCATGATGTCGATATGTATATGTTGGAATCTGGTGTCTAGGTGAGAAAAAAAGCCCAATGAGTGGCTAGTATAACGATGTATAGAATTATCAGTCAGTCAGTAACAACGTAGAACTTCGTACGTACGTACATCAGTTCGAGTTGCCACACCACATTAGCACAGAGATGCACTTGTCGATTCAAATCCCGTAGTGGTAGAGGTAATAAGAGTATAAGCAGTGATCGGGAAGATAAGGGTTTGGAGATGTTATTTAAAGAGTATAATCCAGTGAAATAAATTTGGAAAGAGGAAAAAAGGCACATGAAGAATTCAGAAGATTAGAATTTGGGAGAACACAGAGTGGATGCACCTGCGCCATTGCAAACGATTTTGAGCCATGCCATTCAGGGTCTCTAACCACCGGTTGCTATCATCTCGTGGTCCCCAACCAGGTAGTCTACACCTACCAACATGACTCAGTTCACTTGTCAGTGACTTCATGGACTTGTGCCATGTTTTGGTCTGGTCACCCCTAGCTTTCTTCCAACCTACTCCTATACCACTGAACATAGCACGTCGAGGCAGTCGGTCGTTGGGCATACGTAACACGTGTCCAAGCCATCTCAACTGATCAAGTTTCACTACTTCATCAATTGATTTGCCATCCTTACCCAGTACCCGTTTCCTAACAACTGTGTTACTTACTCGATGGTCCCATGATATACGAGCAATGTTTTGAAGACACCTATGATCAAATACTAGTAACCTACGAATATCCTCTACTCTTACCGGCCATGTTTCACTGCCATAAAGTAGGACGGAACGAACTGCTGCACAGTAAACACGTCCTTTGGTTGATAGACGGATATCTCGCCTACGCCATAAATGACGCAAGTTGGCAAGAGCTAGTCGAGCCTTCTCTATCCGTGCTGAGATTTCGTCACACACCAAACCACAAGGGCTGATGAGACTTCCAAGATAAGTGAAGCGGTCGACACACTCAACTACTTCAATCCCTATCACTAGTTCGGGTGTCAATGTAACCCAATCCTGAAGCAACATTTTGCATTTCGAGGGAGAGAATCGCATCCCGAACATGCTTGCATTGTTGCTTAGAGTGGCCTGAAGACTCTGCATTTTGTCAGCGTCTTCACCAAATAAAACTATGTCATCAGCTTATTCTAAGTCAACAAGTGAACCTCCTGGTAGAAGTTCAAGCCCTGGAAATTTAGATGAGGAGAGTGTTATCTCTAAATGTACGTCGACCACAAAGTTGAACAAGAATGGAGAGAGTGGACAGTTCTGACGAAAACCACTTGAGGTAATCAATTCTGATGACAGTTCGCCATAAGCTCTCACTCTACCAGTTGTGTTCGAGTAGAGAGCCTTTATAAGGTTAATGTACTTCTTTGGTACTCCTTTCAGTGACAAACACTGCCATAGAACCTCACGATCAACAGAGTCGAATGCCGCCTTAAGGTCGAGAAATACTACCATTGTGGGGTGTCTGAATGTGTGTCTGTGTTCTAGAACCTGACGTAGTGTGAATATCTGATCTATACAACCACGTCCAGGTCGAAAACCAGCCTGATTTTCTCTAGTCTGCTCTTCACGAGCTTTAGTTAGGCGTCGAAGTATTATTAAGGCTAATATTTTAGACACTATATTAGTCAAACTGATTCCTCTGTGATTGTCACAAGAGGACTTTTGTCCTTTCTTATAGACTGGCACAATCAGTGATTGAGACCAGTCAGAAGGGATTACGTCCAGTTCCCAAATTCTACCTAAGACTTCGGTTAATCTCATTGCTAATATTGGACCACCATCCTTAAAACTCTCAGGAGTAAACCTGTCAGGGCCTGCTGCTCTCCCTCGCTTCAAATTTCCTATAACTTTTTCAACTTCGTAAAGAGACGGAGGACTTACATTAACTTGCCTTTCAGGTTGACTGGAGATCGTGGGAAACCGAAGTGTGGCTGAAGGCCAGTTGAACTGATTCCTAAAGTGTTCTGCCCATCGATCCAATCTCCTGGATTGAGAATGAATAATATGTCCATCTTTCTCTGAGAGTGTTTCGCTAACAGTCGGTTTCCTAATTCCGGTTTCCTTAACAAGTCTGAACAATTGTCTGCTATTACCTATTGCCGTTGCCTTTTCCATCTCTCTTGCTTTCTCTACCCACCACTGTTCGCGATCATTGCGTAGACTTCTTGTCAGCTTGCGCTTAAGCTGACTCCGCTCTTCATTATGTTCAGAGCCAGGTGGAACGAGTTTCCGAGCATTTATCAGTGAGATAGATGCTGCTGAGATCCAGTGTTGCTCCCTAACCTTCTGGTTTACATTACTAGCAGATATCACTGCTGTTTCCACAGCTTTTCGGATATCATTCCATGCTGCCTCGGGGTGGGCATCACATACATGGCTGCCTAACTGTTTTCCTAGTTGTTCTTGTTCGATCGGGGTATAGAATTATGGTCTACTATGATAGTAGTACTTCTTGAATAATGGGCCTAATTCTAAAATTTTAGATTTTTCATGATGTAACTGCCTGATCTATAAGGTCTTACGTGGAAGTCACAACTTTGTCTGCACTGACTCGTCGTATGGTAACGATTACCAATATATGATGTAGAACACATTTAGGCTAGAGATAGAACAACATATTTAATATGAATAAAAGTTATATAACAACGCTGAACGATGACCACGCCTACCAGGCCGAGCTGGATGGAATGTTTGTGACCCACTTTATTGCGCGTTACTTTCACGAGTTTGGTAACCACAAAAAATCGATGCCTATTGTGGGCACTGATTCACCTGCTACGACAACGTCCCAGCTCGTCCAAAATCTAGGGACAACTTTCTTCCACCGTATGTCTTGATATCTGACGTGTTTACCGCTCTTAGCACTAGTAAGATAACGTTATCTTTGCTCACTACTCTGATTCCCGTTACCGTATCTACTACGAACTGAGCGCCTGCTGCTCTGTCCAAGACGAAAACGATTGTTTCTTGGATCTATGGTAATTATCACAGGCGTCACCGATAACCGGTATGACCGTTTAAATTTGCTTTGTGATCTACAGTTTATAGTATGTTTGCAGAAACCAGCATGCGGCAGGAGCTGAGTGTCTCCCTGTGCATAAGAGACTTCTGTCTCTCGATCTACCGTGCGACCACATTCTTTGTCTGTTGTTCTGATAAAGGCTCATCAGTTTGTGGCATAGAACACTGTTCCCTTTTTGTAACGCATAGATTCTTTCGTGTGCTGTGGAATCATACCTTTGTGGACTTGTGTGTCTAGCCCCCTCATAAATAACGTTTGCGAAATTATGCAAGTGCATTCAAAATAATGATATAATAAATCGGAAATTTTGAATGGAAGACTGCCTATGAACACGTGATGGTCGTCATAGTTCTCCGATTTTCAGCTAGGTACGACAGAACTGCCTTGATGCATGTATTGAAGATTCTGAGTTTGATGTTCGCTGACAGTTGTTTTGAAACTCATATGTGTTCAACTCTAAGAATACTGCCTTCACTGTGCCAATCCTTGCCTCTGCATCACATCTTTCTAGTTAGTCGATCATAATTCCCAGATACCTGAATGTTTCCACACCTCCCGGAGCTTCTTCGACGAGTGATATTTAGTCCATTTTCATCATGTTTTAGGTGAGGGTTTTTCTTTTTCCTTTGTGAATGTTGAGGCCTAATGCTGTGGAGGCTGCTGATACAATGTCTGTCTCCACCTGGATTTTTTGGTGTGAATGATACAGAAGAGCTAGGCCATCAAAATGTTTGAAAATATCTAGGTGCATTGGAGCTATTCAATTTGTTCTGTGCTTCTCCTGTGATGCAGAAGTCATCAAATTTCAGTGGCTGAACACCTGACCCGTTGGATGTATTGGTTTTATAATTGCTTTTAGTTTCGCTCCTTAGTGGTCTATTTTGTTGAAGTGAATCTTGTAAGACGGGAAGATCGCTGCTGAGATCTATCTTGAATTCTTTGAGTTTATCATTATTTCGAAGAAACGCTGTAATATTAAGAATATGAAATATATATATATATATTTAACGCGATGAACATAAAAATAATTATTTCATCTTATCGTTCGTTTTATTAACTCGAGAAACTACCAAATGCGCAGAATTTCAGTGGTAGAATAACAAGTGATTGGGAATATTAGATTCCATGCTATCTTCACAGCAGATCAAACATACATGGAAGTTTTATATGAGTAAAAGCGTTTAGTGACATGAATAGGTACAAAATAACTAGCAAGGTTAAGAATGCACGCTTGGTTGCAACATAATTGTTTGGCTTTATGTCAGTCCTCGAAGAGGCTTGTAAAAGCTTCGATGTGTACCTTAGGTGAGTGAGATGTGACTGCCAAAGACGAGGACTTAACATCACACTAAATCAAGTTCTCTTTAAGGATGTTAATCCGTGATTTTAGCTCTATACTGCATACCTCACACTGATATATTTTTTGTTTGAAATCACATTCATTTTATAGATTGCATTTTACATTGTGATTCGAGGTTCTACAAGGCGTTTCGATTTCTATCTGATTTTTTTATGTCTAGGCTATTCCAGTTTTCTCACGCGCACAAATATTGAATGATTTATTCAGTCTTGCAAAGTAAGTGTCAAGTGGAAAGAAACCAATTTCTTTTTTGGATGATATTTATTCTGTTACAAAATATCAGGCTGGTTAATAACTTTGCTTCCAAATACCAATTAAAAACACGAAAAATTTGTGGTAAATAATCAAGATGTAAAAACAATGAGTACTTGACAACGTATATCATCTGATCGTAGCGGAAATACTTTGTAGAACCTGGAGATTCTCAGTGATATCCGCCCAAAATCGGAGACCGATTCTTTCAGAAATGCAAACTAGGACAGCAGTTTGCAAGAGAAGCAAATTAGTTGGGAAAACGAACAGTTAGCTGCATTAAAAATATATGCAGTGGGTTGAACTGAAATCGGTGTACACATAGATTTATTGAATACTGAAACAGATCAAATTGCGGTTAGAAAGACGTTTATCTGAACTGGTGTATCAATTATAACTAGCTATTATATAAACTCTACTATAATAAAATGATAGATTAGTATCATATCAAAGAATTAACATATTCTATACGCTATATTGTTGAAAGCATCTGTTAGCACCACATTAATAGAAAACCGTCGTTTGCTTACTCGTTTAATACAGATTTAAAAATATAACATGTCGGGTGGAGTAATTACACCGACGTATAAACGAAGAATACTCTTTTCAACAAAGTCTTTTCCTGTTCTGCAATCACGAATCCAAACTAATCATACGAAAAGTCTGAAGATATTTCATCAAAGGAAATTTTTCTTCCGACGGAAGCTGTATAATCGTTTTTAATGTTCATTTTTACATGTAGTATTCTACGGTAATTAATATGTTTACTAATATGTTTACTTTGAGACTACCTCACAAATGGCTGTTTTGTTCTTCTTTGGCCTCCTTGTCAGTCGTCATATCGTGCCGTATACTCTTTTCCTGAACGCGACAAAATATTTAAACCGCGAAGACGAGTTTATTGTATGGATAACAGCTAGTCGAGCGCTGCTCTACATTAATAGCATGTTTGCTCTGAATGAGAATTATGACGTTTACCAAGCATACTTGCAAACTCTTATCGATAACCGAATTCAATCAGCAAGTCGGTCATTTGTTAGTACAGATGAAGATCTTCAAAGGATGTGAGTAATGATATTTTTATTTCGTATGTCTTTACTCTGTCATATCAGTCAAGCACTCAGGTTTATCTAGGAAAACTTTTATTCCGAAACAATCTATATGTTAGGTATTTAATATGAAATGTTGAAATTAGCAGCATCGTTGACGGGACTGCTTAGCTAAGCCAAAAATATTTGATGAACAGATGAAAGTAACGGTTTCTGAGAGGAGTGATACTGTTCCACAGGTGGTTGGAATATCTGGACCATAATAATAAGCTGAGACGGTGTGATAATAAGGATCGAATGATAAGTGATTGGTTAAGTTTCACTTCAAAATGTGTGTTCCTGTAATTAGGAACACAATTTTATTGCCCGATTGAACTCGACAATTGACTGTAAATGATGCATCGTTGTAATATGATTGCTTGAATTCCATCCATTATAAACGATTCTAATCAGATGTTGAAAGTTGTACTTTTTCATTTCAATTTTTTATAGTGGAAACTCAGACGGTCCAACTGTCTTGTGCAAACTCCCGTAACTTAAGAAATAAAGGTCACATAAATTATATTTGAGTACCATATTACACTATCGTTGGTCAAGTGGTTTTAAGATGAATCGTATTATCAATTTTTGCTTCGTGATCACGTAAAAATGCGAATTAATTTGTTCCGTTATGTCTTGTCGATAGAAACAGATTTCTAGTTACACCAATGATTATTTTACCTCAAAACTAATAACCCTGAAACATTCACAGAGGGAAATTTAATTTCCATTGGATTATTTCAACGAATAATGTTAACGTATCTTTTAGGCTGGTGAAAATCCTGATGTGTTAAAACATATGGATATATCATAGTAGTAAGATGTCGTGAAGGGTAACAGCTTGCTGTTAAAATGAGATGAAAACTTTATATCACCAAAAACTACAGAAATCATCAGCTCGTCAATGCTGTGCCAACTGATGAGTTTAATGACATTCGCTTTTTCGTGAAGAGATAATAGAACAGGTTTCGGGATAACGCAACATGTAGAAATATTTTTAAGGTGAATACATTGCGTTTCAGCTACAAAATCGCAGCTACCTTCGAATCCATAATAAAAACTGATCTAATCTAACCACCTTCAGGCATTTCCATGAAATTTTCTCCCCATCAACTAATCATAAACGTGCTAGTGTAAAAGAATAAAGTACATAAATGTTTTTATTTATTGAGTTATAACTTAAATGTTCTTACACCGTTTGTTCAATTTTAGACGCTTTGATTATAATGTGATCAAACTCTCTTGTATAGCTGAACATCATCTTTGTGTGAACAAAACTACGGATCTCTTCGGACAATGGATGTCGAAACCCGAAACGAACCCGTTAGTCATGCAACTATTGATTTTTACATGATAAAACAGACTACCGTATAATAAGCCTTTATATTATGTTTAGTGTTATTTGAACTAATTCTTAAAACGCAGCTTGAAACAGATTGTTTGATCAGGTTTTTGTTGCTATGGTCATATACGAATACATGAATAGTTTGTCAGTGTTATGGTTTCCTGAGTGTAAAAAACCAATAAGTCAGTAAGCGTAGTGGGATTTTAATTTGCGTTCGATATGTTAAAATGAGTATTGTTATTGGCGCCATATGCATAGGATAACCTTATCATGAAAATATATTCACAGCTTCTGATTCCCATGAAAACAAATATATATATACATATAACGGAATTGAAGAATGGACGTTTTTTGACCATTTATGAGACACCAATGAGGAATTATTTTATCAATTACTTATACACTTCCGTCAGTTACCCCTCACGAGATCTTTGGCTGACGAAAAGGATACTCCAAAAACTATTCTATCCTATCTTACTTTCCGATCATTGCCGATCGCTTCTCATTCTTTCTAAATATGCCTCGAATTCTCGACGCAACGTGTTCTTTGGTCTTCCTCTGTACCTCTTGCCTTCTGGATTCGGAGTGATTGTCTCGAGATTCAGTCTGATGGCATACACAACGCTTGTCGTACTCACGTCCAACGTTTTGTCCTGCTTTCATATTCACATGGAAGCTAGTTTGTTCTCTTCGTTGGTATGTCGCTGTTGATGGCGTTCGATCAACTGATATTGATTGTCTTGTACAGACAAGTGTTTATGAAAACATGTACCTTTTGATTATGGTTATGACAGTTCTGCAATTTTCAGCCCAGTACACTACAACTGTTTCAATATCTGTAATGAAAGTTCTGAATTTGATGTGGGCTGACAGTTATTTTGATACTTATGTGTTTTCAGATGTCATAGCAGCGCAGTCATTTTCCTGACCCTTTCCTCTGCATCTACGTTACACTTTCCTGGTTACTCGGTTAGACTTCTCAGATAAGCGGTTGTTTCAACCCCTTCCGAAACTTCTTTGTCAAGTGTGGATCGGTTCGTTTCAGTTGAAAATCTTGCTTTTTCCTTTGTGAATGTTGAGGCCTAATGTTTAAGAGGCTGCTACTACACTGCTTGTCTTTACCGGAATTTGTTGGTTTGTGATAGAGGAGAGCTGAATCATCTACCGGGTTCGAAATATCTAAGTGAGTCGAAGCTGTCAGATGTATTCCCCGTTTTACCTGAGATATAGTTATTGTCACAATTCAAATGGCGTGGATAAGCAGCTTTGTTTGATTCCGATCTTTGCTTACAATTGATCTGTCTTTCTGTCTTCCACGCGCGAAATTTCATTGCATTTTCTTTTATTAATAAATGTTAAACATACCTGATATTCACATCCCTTACACGCATATAGTCATAAATCTCTAGAAATAATTTCATGTAAATCGAATGAAAGTAACGTTTTTGTTCGCGTTTGTTTTATTCTACAGGATACGACCTGATTTGAGGTTCATTACTTATTGTACAGCTATTCGTCATGGTGGTCATGAAGAATGGAAATTTTTAGAAAGTCAGCTGACGTTGAACGATTCTGTAAATGAGGAAGATAACGAAAACAAGATGTTGGCATTAACGTGTTCTCGTGATACAGAAATCATGAAAGAGTAAGTTGATCTGTTACCTTCAATATTACACTGTCACACCTGTTATTGAAAACGGTAACCCGACTAGATGTTTGGAATCCCCATTCCTATCAGCTAATGAATATGGTCACAGAAACTAAATCCGTTTGTTATGATCGAATATTTCTCAAAATTTGCATGATATTTTCTGAAATTATCCGTGACAATGACTATGATTGAATAATTGGAGAGATATATGTTTTACTCCTCTAATGACCATTGAACAACCAAACAGTGTCAAGCCTAATGAAAGTTTATAACATGAGCTTACACCAACTCACTCTCAAATGTAACAGGACACAGGACATGTCTTTAATTTATGGTTGAAACTACATAAAACTTGACCACTCACATTTTTGGAAGGAGTTTATAAAGTACCATCGAGTAAACACGACAAATTTGAACCACTGATTCAAATCCTAGTGGTTTACATTGTCTCAGAGTACACGAATGTTTAAAGTCAACTAAAACCCATCGATTAATACTGAACAAATTTTTCTTAATTCAACAACAACGTTCACTGACAAACAAAACCGACATCAATGGGACTACCGATATCAAGACTTATTACAGAGTGGTGATGTAATAACTGAAAGCTTCATATTTACCAGTAATCACACTGAGAATGTCGATTCGTTATGTGTACGACAAGTTCGTCATCGTCGAAAAGATCGAGCTTGAAATACGTACAAATAAATCTACAACATCTCCGACGGGATAGACTTCACAATGTAAAAGAGAAGGAATCGTCGTCAAGACCAGGTATTTTAGCTGCAAATCTCACCGATCATACTGTTGTGTGTGCTACTTATATTGACATAAGTAGTATATGATGTTAGTCGTGAGCATAATTTTTGGCAGCAGAGAAACATGAGGATCAAACAGTAAAGAATGGAAACAGGGTGCAATTTGCACGAAAATGCAAGAACAATGAATTCTGAGTAATTTTGAGACAATTGGTGGACATTTTGCAAATTAGGCATTTAGTTTATGGTTGCTAGAATTTATTAACAAGTCCTGTAAGTTTGTGTTAAATACATTCGATTGTCCTCACTGGTGTTCTTGTTCACTACAATCCTATATTCCTGGCCTTCATATCGTTTTATTCCACAGATGTAAATGTTTATAAGATTAAATTAGCACACCACACCTACTTAGCTAAGCATTTCTTCCATCTTTTCATCAGGTACTTTGAGCGTGTAAGAGAGAACAAGAACTTCTGGTTTACGCTTGATTATTTTGCAGAGTCACCAGTTGGTAACCAACTTTTATGGGATCACCTGAGTGATGTACATAATTTTGTAAAACATAAGTGAGTTTACATTTCTATTGACAGTGAGGAACTGATGCCATATTAACGTCATGAGGTAGACGGTGCTTGCTAACTTCAGACGTTCGCGTTTCGCTTGTGAAGTCGTATAGTATACATTATATGTAGGAGATAAATTGAATCAAGGTGATTTTGTAGACCTATTTCATTCATGCTTTCGCATTTGAAAAATTCTATCGAAAATTTCAACCTTTTGACGAACATAGTAACTTATCACATATAAATGTTTAAACAAATGTAATTTTAATTTGATTAACATATCAATAGACAGTTAGTACAAGGACTAGTAAAATACTTTAAATAACTCATAGTTGTGTCATGTGGATGTTTCTCATTTCCTTTCAGGCACATTTAACTTGGTGTATGCATTTGTGTGGGAATATTGTGCCGCTATAACCGATTTGTTGAATGCACATGGACGTACAAATCTCTCATCATTTGTGTTCATTCATCTTAGTGAACAATCGTTCTGACAGAAATATGCTGATGTGTCCTATTAAGAAAACATGATGTTCGACGTCATCGTTAATAAATAAAGCTGTTTGATATATATATATATATATATATATATATATATATATATATATATATATATATATATATATATATATATATATATATAATGTGACTCTATCAGTTTTGTATTTCTGAATTGATTACCTTATAATTTCTACTTATCTCATCATGATGATTTACTTAGGTCATTCGTTTATTTCAGAATAGAAATATTTTGATTGAACAGGTTGATTGTCCACTTAGCGCGACCTCGTACTCAGTCATTAATGGAAACTAACCAAAAGCATTTTTCTTTTTAATTTTGCTTCACAGAGACTTTACGAAATTATTAACAAAAAGACTAACTGAATATCCTTACTCAGTGTTTAGTGGAACAAATCATGAAAAGGTCAGTGGAGAGCCTATCTATTTTCCATAAGCTTACAAATGTTGCTTTGTTTCGTCCCACATGCACACATACTGTTATTCTGTAATTTACTTTTTCGAATGTGATCATCTAGACAATTTTGTTAACGTTTGGAAGCACACACTCCATTAATCGTAAACAGTTTCAATGAAGCTAAAATGAATAAAAAGAAAGTAATAACACTGAGTGGTTGAATGTGGTTTGTAGGATGCCGTAAATCTAACTTTTGTGCTAGAGAGTATTCGTCAAATGAGTATTTCTGCAATCTGCAGTCCGAGATATTATCGCTAAATTATTTGAACTCTAACGTGAAGTGAAAATCATCACAGTGTGAAACTACTCATATCAGTTACTACACTTTAGTATGTTGTCAAAAATGCGATCAGTACCAATAGCCAGATAACAGGAATCATCTTACTATTCTGCTGGGAGTTAGTGGTAATACTTATATGTAAATTGTAGAGTGAGAATGATACGATCTAATTGCACAGTACGCGTTTCTTGTTCCATTTCCACACTTAGTCCTGATAATGAATCTTGCGATCATCAAGTGTACGTTTCGTAATTTAAGAGAACTAACTCGACGATTATGCGACCTCTCATTTTTCATACACACTGTATTTAAACGAACTTAGTCATGGTATATGGCTACAAATATTCTCCGGAAACAAATCTTATTTTTTTCAATTGCGTTCTCCACCTGAAACGTCCCTTGCAAAGTACAATTGAAATTTTAATCTGCAAACCCTCTTTAGCAATTCTAACGTATATAGGAATATGTGCAAAATCTACGCGAAATTTACAAAACAACTGACAACATGTTTTGTAATAAATCAAACGCTTATTATTATGCTACATAAGTTTATGTACTGGCTCCACATAAAATGTACATAAAATGACTTCTTTATCTTTGCAGATCCTTGTAACAGAAGCTAATCATCAGATAGACCCTGAACTTCAAAAGACGACCGAATATCTAATTCAGATATCCAGAGAAAAACTGAAATGGACTGAAAACTATTCTGACGTTATTATTCAGTGGTTGAATGAAAATATCCCAGTATTTACCTATTTATCATAGATAATGAGGGCCAACCAAATAATCACTCATAAACTATACAAGATGATTCTTTTAACTTCAGTCGTTGTTGTCATTGGTACTTTTTATTCTACTTAGCCTTGGGACACTTATATGTTATTCCATATCTACACTACTACTTTGAGTGTTTGCTTGTAGTAACTCGTAGTAACTTTATTTGGATATTTATATTTATTTATATAGCACTAATGGTAGAACAATTTTGTTGTGGGTTTCGATTTTTAATGTTTAATATTCATAATGTGAAATAAAAAACCTCGAGTATGAACAAAATTGTCTTTGTTAATCAACGAACTATGGTTCTTTAAAAGTATATGAAAAATAATTCCGATAAATTAGGTTTGATGAAATGGAACTTTGTAATACTGCTAGTGAAATTGATTCACAGACAACCGATTAACGTACCACAATATTCCATTAGTAATATTAAGTGGAATCTAGTAATGGAAAAATTGCAGTTAAATGTTAAGCTGTGTTAAAAACATCTGGTGAATTTCAAAAACAAGAATGATTAACCATTTACCAATTGAATCGAATAACATTTTCCTAATTTCAAATTAAACTAAGCTATGCAGTGAAGTTTCTAGCACATTGTCAATGATGTTGAAGTTCGTCGTCTTATATCAAATCGCGTCAGCTACTTGAGCAGTTGTTCATTTATCTGCTATCCGTTTGCCGATGACGCTGCAGCAATAATCCAGATATATATAGGCAATCATCAATTGACAGCACAGATGCAGAGGATCGATAGTAAATCCATAGACGTTTCCCCATGACACAATCTATATGGTTTGAAACATATGTTGAGAATCAGACTCCACTCGACAGTCTTAGAAGGTAAATTAATCAATTGAAAGACTGATCACAAATGAAATGGAATAAAGTCATTTCCAATATTTATTATTCCTGATGTTGATGAGAATCAGAAAGCCGGTACACCTGAAAAACCATTCGACAAGTTTTCCAGAGGCCAGAAAGAGGATGAGAATATTTCAAACAATCTGAAAACATTACATGGACCTCTAGGAAATTGACTGGTTATGTCGTAAACTCTAAATCTATGAATACCGACTTTCCGTCTTAAGTAGTATGTTTTCAAAGGCTTCCAAATTTCAATGATAGTCAACAGACCTATAGGTATGCCCATATTTTGATATGGTTGAGAGGATGTTTAGATCAGGTGGATGCTGTTAGTAGAGATTGATTCTCTGACTTGGACGGCTTTATTGTGAAGCTTTTATTGTTCATCTGAACAACATCAACAACACAAACGTCAGTTAGAAGTAAGGTGTTCGACGGCTTGACTGGACACTGTTGAACTGCAACCATAATGATGCTATATGTCTAGAAATTCTAGTAACGGTACAAATCAGGTTCGGGTGCTGGATTACATAAGATACTGTCGTGCTCAGACCAAATCTTGGCACTATGAACCATCGTTGCACAATCAACTGAATGGAAGGCGTCGCTATGCATCAACGTGCGTGATTATGAAAAGGCGTTCAGCAGCAAGGAATAGATAACCTTGTGGAACTTATTTAGACACTGTAGTTCGCCTAAGAAAATCGTCAACATCATTGGAAATGTATATGATGGACTACACTGCAAAGTGGTTCACGGTGGACAACTCACAGATCCATTTCGAGTGACGAATGTTGTCTGACAAGGCTGACTACTCTTTTCCTTGGAGGTTGACTGGATTACGAAGACCCTTACATGAGAGGCGAAGCACAGTGAAGAACTTCGATTCCGTATGATGATCTGGACTTTAAAGATGACCTCGCTAATCTATTCCACATGCACCATATTCCTACAGTTGAAGGACATATGGAAATTAAGATAGATATCTGTAAGCCAACATCAAATTCATATTCTTCAGAACAAATTTTGAAACAATTCTACCATACGGAGCTGAGACTTAAAGAACCAATGCAACAATTAATAAAACCGTAACAGTGTTTATATGCAATTGTTTACATATGATACTCAATGTCCGTTGACTGGATAACATCAGCAACAAACCTGTTTCTAAGTGAAGAAGAAATTGAAAAAAGACGTTGGGAATGGATAGGAGACATTTTGTAAATCATTAGACCACATATTTAAGCAAGCCTTGACTTAAAATCTCGAATTTAAACACAAAAGATAAAGACCAAGCCACACTAGGAGTCGAGAATTACAAGCAGACAGCAAAAGGGCGAATGGCAACTGGAAACAGCTGGACGAAATCGCCTAGGATAGAGTTGGATGGAGAATGCTGGTGGGTGGTTTACGCTTCCACACGACGTGAGGTGACAATCGTAGGTTAGTGGGTTCACGATCAAAATCTGGAGTTTCGCATGCATTTTGTGCGATTCGATTCAAATCAGATGAGTATGTTACGTTATCTTCAAACACGTAATGTATCATTTATGTCCATAGAAGATATTGCCACCGAAGGATCTGCTACTCACAAATCAATACTTATTTAAGGCTAACTTCACAGAGATAACATTTTGTGGTTTATAATTATACCACTAAATGGATAAATTAAGTAGACATATTCCTGAATAAAAAATCACACCTAAATGCTTATCCGTTCATTTAAGAAATAATTATTGTTAGTCAACTTCAGGATTTTGTTTTTAAAGTTTTACTTTTGAAAAGAGATCTGCGAACCTATTTTCAATTACGGAATTCGATAAATCAAAGGTTGGCCTGGCTTCATCGCTAAGGTTGAACCTTGATGAGAAAAAAAGGAACTTCTGTAGAACGTAATCAACAAATAAACGAAGAATCTACGATGCCATCGTAGTTAAAGAATTCGATGAGTTTCTATCACACATAATAATCAGTAAATTAACGTGAATCCCACCTTTCACTGACTGTTCGTCAGTGTTTGCGTTTCGCAACCTAAGTGACGTCAAATTCATGCTAATGAGGTCAGTCTACCATGTGCATAAAACTTGATGCCGAGTGAAAACATTGTTTTATTTCTAACGTCTTTACTACTGCACTGGTTACTTTCTGTGTGAAGGGATTCTAGAAACACTACTAATGTAATATAAGAAAATAAATTATGTGTAGAACAGATCATTTATGCATGTAATCATACGTCTTTAAGTAGATTATGCCTATTCATTACTAATCCAGGTAGTTTTGTTTATTTAAATAGCATTTTTCAAAAACAAATCGACCGAAAATGCCTTTTTCAGACCCGAAAAATTTCCTTTTCAATCGTCAAAGTGGTATTTGGGTGGAACTTTTGAAATTTACTTACGTCAACTTATTCACGTAATCCCAGGATTTCTTGTACTAGACTTTTTTGTGATATAGGTATTCAAAAATCACCATTTTGTCAAGGTATCTCAGTGCTGAAGCGCTAATCAACCTACATTCATCGTTCAGATGAAATATAAATAAAATGAATACGAAACAGTAATCGTTTAGCACATTCAAAAATTTCATCAGTTTATAATCGATCGCAGTTACTAGTTGAAAATTCAGATTTGAATTGATAAATCTCAATATTCAATCAAAGTCAAGTAATATCTAGTCCATAAAACGTATGATCTTGGTTGGAAATCACCGCCTTACACAAACTTGCTGTTCTTTGTTGACAATTGGTTTCGCATAGTTCATATATCATAGAATTGTATCAGTACGGAATTATTCATTGACGATTTTTGGTTGTGGATGAGATAAGCATAAATGTGACACAACACTCCGTTGCCTTTTTTGAAAGTCAGAGGTTATAATAAAGTTAAGATTTCAAAGGGTCATTTTATTATGCATTTATTTATTTGAACGCGTAAATATTCGTACAAGGAGGCATCGATCACATATGCACCACACAGTAACATTGAGGTTTTGAAGAGATCGAGAACGTAGAGTGAGTAGTAAAAAAGAGAGGGATAACGAGGACAAATTAGTCTCTGAGAGTGAAATAATAATTCTAATAAGAGAAGAAATTCGGAAATATTACTTTCAGTTAAGAAAGTTAAGGTCACTTTAATGAAGAAAGTGAAGGAAAGTTGCAGTGGGACTGCCACCAGCTTCTACTCTAAGCCATGCCTGGTGGCGTCTCATGCCACTGTGCTGCACCAAATGCAGCTCTTTAAACAGGGAGTCGTAGAAGTGTAGCATAGATCTGTTCTGTACAACTTTCACACCACGAAACCATGCCATACACTACCATATCTCCGCCTTTTCCAACCGATTACAGGGTCGACAAATAATGCACGACTTTGGACTCTCCTGGAAAAAATTTATAAGACATGTTCAAGCCTCCGAAATCGACTTTTTGAGATGGTGATATTAATTGAATTATCGTCATTGTGCCTAAACACGCGATGCCAATCCTCTGCTTTATAGGCAAAGCGTTAACACTGGACGTCACAAAGCATTTGGAGACTACGACGTCCAAACGCAGGGAGTCATCCAATATCCTCAAATCAGAGATGCGAGGTTTCACAAGAATATAGCAAAACTGCTCTCTCGCGAAGGCTCAGATTGGAATAAGCCGCTCTGGCTTTCAATATAAGTGAACTCATCACTCAAGCCGCTACTAGCACTCACTCAGCAACGTAGATACACGAACGTTTCGACTGGTTTTATCTGCACACTACCCAGAGTGAGTGCCTGATTCGGGTCCTGTCAGTCATGTAAATGTAATTAGCACTTGGAAGTTACAAAGCACATACCATATCTACGGGTGCTGACTGCCAACTATTTATATACGGATTGCATGGCTTGAGTATCATCGCACAATAAGACAATATCATCGGCATACTCAAGGTCGAGGAATCTTTCTCCAGGTAAAAGATCCACACCACCATTGCCTACATCCATTAGAGTTGTTTCCAGAAAGTCAACATTGGCAAAATTGAAGAGGAATGATGTGATTGAGCAATGCTGCCTGAAAGGACAGTCCCGTCTAAAGAATCGAAGACAGCCCTGATATCATGAAGCATTACGGTTGTCGGCCTGTAATAAGTATGAAG